GCTGTCTTCTCCTGTTAAGCTTATCTATCTATTGCTTCCCTCCATTTCCAGGTTTTCTCTTAGAAATGATTTTCTTAAACTTTTCCTTTGCCATGTCTGTAATTGAAAAAGCAAAACAAAACCAAAGGGGGGGGGAATCCTAAATGAAACCATGTCATACTATTTCTGCAGCTAGCACATTTACTTCCAATGGCTGTGCTTTCAGAGCCTATATTCTTTAAGCTTTCTTTTCTCCTTATGTGAAATAAGGAACTCCCCAGTTTTAAGAGTATTGGCTTATGTGTGTAGATGGATTGAGTTAGACAGCAGAGGTTGTTACTACCTTTACTTGCTCTGTCTCCTTTGTCTGAGCTGAATAGCTGGACTGGACTTGAAGTAGCTTCTGAAAAGGAGAAAAGCAAACAATCTAGGCAATAATTGCTTTGGCTATCTGACTTTCATTTGCCATCATTCCTGAGTCAGGATGATAAGTTTATGCTCAGCTCTTGTGACCTTGAGGATGATTGCTTGCAGCATTTTTAAGACGGAAGTATTTGGGTGAGGATGCTTTCTCTGTACTGGGTGAAGCTGTCCTCTCTTCTTTGGTTCAAACGTCCATCCAGACACACACTGTGTGGTTTATTTTCTGCTTAGAAATGATAATAAGAGACACAAATATCCCTTATTCATTGGAAAATGTGAAATGACATTTAAATTCCATCCATGAGAATATGTTCTTTCAAAGCCTCTGCGAAGGAGCCTGGGACTGCTCGTTTCATGAACGTTTGCTGAGAGCTCTTTAAATTCCTGAACCACTGTCGACTAATAAATGCATATAAATTATCTCTGAAACAGGTTCATTTAACTCTTGTCTAATATGTAGCATTTGGCCTGTCAGAGTCAAAATACTGTGACTTATTTTTGTATGGCAAATTGAGTACTTTGTTTATTAAAATTGCTCATTTGTTATATAATGAGAAGGGCCTAGATTACTTTTCATGGTAAGGATTTAAAGGGCAGGTCATTGGTGTTCTCCAGCTGCAAAATATTTTGATTATCTGTTCATCTTCTGTTATATATTTCATAGGTGGTAGTTAGGTTTTGGAATTAGTGACTTGCATTTTGCTTTCAGTCCTGTTGGCCTTAGTGAGGCTCCATACAGAGCAGAATTTGGCTTGCTTAACTGAATGCACTGTATCTGAATACAGACAAATATGTCTATAATTGATACAGATTGCTAATAGTTTACTAGAAGATAAAGCAAACATCATTTGGAGCATGAAACTGGTTTTGTGTTGTAAAGCTGCACCTTGCATCATGTAACATTCTACATTTTTTCAACTTTGAGCTGGGAGTCTTAATTGAAGCTGTAGCTCTGTTACTTTTATTCATGCATGACTTAACACAGAGATCGCTGAATGCCTTTTGCTGTGACGTAATTTTTTTTTTTGTAGAAGCTTCTACATAATAAGGTATAATTACCATTTTGCCAATATTTAGTAAATAATGATACACATAAGAAATACACAGTTCTAATGATTTCCTTTGATACTGGGGGGGTCATAGGCCCGTGACAAAGATTTCTACCCCATCCCCAAATCTACTATGTGTTATTTAGATAGATCTAATGCATTAAAATTATGCAGTGCCTGATGGTTTAAGAGCTGTGTTTCATGATGGCCCGAATTTTGCATTTTGTGACCAATAAATGGGGCCTGATCCCAGGCCAGAGGAAGAGAGAGGTCATGTTGCACCCTCAAAGTCTCAGATTTGGCAGAGCGACGTGAGCCCTCAGCTCTGTCAGATGTTAGAGCTGCTCTGTGTTTCTCTTCTCCTCCGGTGGTTTTTCCCTTTCTTTTCAGCAGAGTTGAGTTCTGTATGTTGTTGCTAATTGCAGATAATGTAGTACTGACATTTTGAAAAGTATACATAGGTGATATCCACCCAAAGGATGATACTGCTATCTTCAGAGATGCTGATACAGTTTTGCAGGCATAGACTCATTTAGTGATGAATTGCAGTAATAGCAGTTCAAGACCTACAGCATATTAGTGAAAATGAATCCACTGAGCACTAGTCCCACGGTACTACAACAGCACTTAAAGAACACTGATTTTCTTGAAAGGAGAAAAATCTGATTAAGAGATTTAGCTGCGGATTTTGGTTTTTGTTTTGGTTTTTTTTGTTGGTTTTTTTTTTTTACCAGCAGTGTGTTATTTGTATTTGTTTCTTGATGTATGTTATTGTAAGGAATTTAATATACATAAGAAAACCAGGAGAGTGCCATAAACACGGAACATTGTTTTCTGTTTTAGCAGATGGAAGACTCATATGTGCTGCAATAAGCAGAGACGTAGCAGTAGTACTGCTTTTAATTTCTTGTTATAAACTGACGTAACACCTGGCTATAAAAGAAAAAAAAGATGAACATGCTAAAATTGAGAAGATACGTAATAGTGTACACAGTGGTGGGTCTCTGTGGCAAAAATGTTGTAGAAATGAATGCAATAATTGGAAAGAATTATCCTAATAAAAGGATGGGGCAACCTATTATTGAAATAGTTGTCTAATTTGAGGGAAATAGGGATAAAGACAGGCTTCATGTTAATAATGCGTTGGTGCTTTGCATGAGAACAGAGTGTTCTTTCAGCTCTGGAGTGTGATCAGTGGAGGACAGAAATGTCCTAAGCATAATGCTAGACTCCTTTGTGCAATCTCCTTTAAAATCACCCAGGAGCTAGAAAATTAGAGGGATCTGGAACACCAGAACTCCTAAACCAGGAGAAAATACGCCAAGTATGCATATACCTTCTTTCTTCCTTCCCCATCTCTACATCCTTCATGTCTAGCTGGGAGGGGGCATGTTTGGGACATGCCTAGAGCATATAGAAAAGTAGCTGAAAGCGGCTCCAGGTGGAAACCCTCTTCTGCTCTCGGTAAGTTTTAAGGCAGCACCTTTGTATGTCGTTGTGTTTACAACCCCCCATCTGAAATCTTACTTTCATTTGTAGACACTTTGCTTCCAATTTTTTATAATTAACCTCGACCACTGGTGTAACTGCCACTGGTTACAGTTAATGTCAAAGAAACATTAAAACATTTTAATTGTCTCTTCCACATACCACAACATGTTTGAAAAGATTTCAAAATGTGTGATGTATCTTTAGATGGTGATTTCACCATTGCTGGGGAACCTATGGCGGGGGAAAGTAAAGGAGTGCTAATAAATAGGCTCTTTTTGGTCAAATATAATGTAGTCTTGAAGACTCTAATACTCAAGTCTGTGTGTATAAGAGGCAGTAGAGATATTCTGAAGAACCGGGGTTTATGGATAGTTCCACAATTTTAGGGCTAATATAGGCTACAGCTTTGTCAGGTTGACAACTACAGAAGGATTATTTGAAGATATGAGCAATCATCGATACTTTGGGCAAGATCTCTTTTGTGCTGAGGGCAGGGATACACTCCTAATGTTAAAATTAGGGTTTAAATGGGTCTGCTTATGTGAGAGCAATAAAAAAAAAAAAGTACTTGCTGCACCTGTTGCTCTACTGTCTTTGGGAAAAGATGAAAATTTGATATATAAGTGTATGGAGGAAGCACTGGTATTTGTAGCAGATGACTTTGTGGGTAGATGCGTGTGTTCATACACACAGGGTTCTTGATCAGATGATGAGTTATGATGAAGAAATATTTTTCTATATTTGTGATTTGACAAGCAACATGCCACTTCTTTCCAATTCTCTTGCGGTTTCTGTAAGTTAAGAAAGTCAGAGGAATACTTTTTCTGAATAATAATTTAAAAAAAAAAAAAAAAAAATCAGTAAGCCTGTGTTGCTTTCAGCTATAGATCAAGAAGTTTCCCAGTCTGACGATTCAGGATTTGACGAGGTATTCTAAAAAAACCATAACCAGCTGTAAAATAAACTAAAAATGCTAAGGCTGCGTTGACAGCATTGTCCAACAGCTAAGATGATTTTTTAATGAAAAACATTTTGAATTTTTAGGATTAACAAGATGATTTCTACATTCCTGGAGAGAGAGTTGAATTACAACTCTTAAGATGTACCTGTTTGACTCAAATGAAAACATATGCTGCTTCAAATAGCACGAGCTACTGGTTTCTAATTTTAAAATCCAGATTTCTTCTGACAAATTATGATTCAATTACAGAAGCATTTAAAAACACACAAACAGCACACATACATTCTGAGGTGCATTCATTGAATAAAGATAAGCGAACTAAGGCAAGTAAGTCTGCAAAATGCTTGTTAAGGTAATATAAGAGATGGGTTGAACTGTCTAGGTAAAGGCTAAAGACTGTACTGTGTTATAGTAACTATTATTTGTAATGCCTTACAGGTTGATTTAAGTGATGTAAGTTAGGGATAAACAAAATTTTGTTTCTTTATGCTTGAGTTTTTCATGTGTAGAGTAGTGTGAATGCTGTAAAGACGACGGATATTCAAAGTTTTAATTTAATTTCCTTCAGAAAGAAATATCATTAAAAATTCAGAAGATGAAAGTAAAACACACAAGATTCATATGCCATTAATGGAATTATATTAACAGTTGTAATAATATCCCTTAATCTTAAAAAGGTAAGTCTCTTACAGAATTAAGGTTTTTCTGCTGCTTTTCATGCTGTGTGAGCTATTACAGTTAATACAAGTTGCTGATGTGAAAGCATCCTTGCTAACCCTGTTTGGAGAGCGGCTCGTTCTGTGCTCGTTAGAAAAGGTACAAGAAGAGATATTATAGGTCTTCGTTAAATAACTACTTAATTACATCCTAGGACAATCAGATACCAAATCTGTGAATACCGCTGGCAGGTTTCCCTAGGACTCGCCTCTAAAGCAGCAAAACTCAGTCTGCATGAGAAACACAACGTGTAACGTCTTGGTGTGCTGCGGAGGAACGCGCAGCGGCAGGTGCAAATTTACATTAGCAAATTCAAGGGCAGGACTTGTTAGAAAAGGCATTTAAAACAGCTTATACTCATTTAAAAAGCTTCTACTCACCCTTCTCTGTGAGCTTCTCCTTTCTCTAGCTCCTGTATAACACCCAACAACACTTTTATGGTTTCCTGACTAGAGCTGATCAAATTTTCCATCATCTGAAGCTGCGCTTTCAAGTCCACAACTTCCGTGTGAGGCACGATTTGTTGGCATTCCCCGCTCACCGCGACGGCCGTCTGGCAAGGCTGGTTCTCCTCCATAGGCGAAACGTTTATCTGAAGGGTCTGTTCGTTACATTCGGTGGCTTGGCACTGTGCCTGCAATGAGCAGGCTTGAGCATCTCCTGCCTGGGGCTGAACACCGTTCAGGTGCACGGTCCTCTTTTTGTCCTCCTCAGCTGTCGGGCACGGTGACCAGTCGGTCTCAGCCGCGAGATTTGTCAGGTCGGGCTGCGAGGCGTTTGAACTGGATGCCGGTAAATAAATGGTGGCCACTTCAGTCTTGAAGACCCTCCCGTGGAGGGGCTGGGTGGCCTCCTCACTCCCCGGCCACCCCACTGCCTGTTTCCCTCGGCTGGGTGGCCGGTCGGCGGCAGGCTCCTCCGAAGCAGGGTCGGCTGAGTTTGGGGGAGGAGGAGGCGGCTCTTTGGGAGAGCTGTGCAAATCGCTGCTTTTCCAGGCCTCAGCCCCGTTGTCACGAGATCCCGCGTTGGTGCGCTTGTTGATGTGGGAAATGAACTCCGCTGTCTGCAGGCTGCCGGTCTTCTTGGTCCACTGAACGGCCTCCCCTGAGCTTCTGCCGTCTTTGTCCTTAACATCTATTAGAAACCCGTTGTTTTGACTCTTAAAGGTATCGACAGTCGAGGCGCTTTTAAGAATATTCCCTTTTTTCCGGTCCAGAGGAAAGGTCTGGTAACACTTTTTAAGATCAGGTGAAGTCTGAACTCCTGTGCTCTTGGTGACGTTGGGTATTGACCTCCGGGCAGGCACTGTCATGTACTTGCGATAAGCCGTTTTATAGGAAATGGGCTTGGCTTCTCTTTTGTCAGGATCCTGTGTAGTGGACAGCTGTTTGTCCCTCTGCTCATTCTGGGCCTCGCAGATATCTTTAAATCTCACCTGGAGGGCTTTGTTTCGTTTCTTAATCTGCCGGTTGGGATCCAGTGCGTATTTCATCTCCAAAGCGAGTGAAGCTGCTGGCTCAACTTCGCTTTCCGAGGTGGTGAGTAAGCATTTGCTGGGCTCCTTACTCACCATGATGCCTGCATGCAAAAACAGTTCAAAAAGCCTTGTGTTACAACAGAAATGCTACTTTCCCCCCCAGGTTTGCAATATTTGAGCTAATTTCCTTGGCTTTGACTGAAATGGCTGCCACTCGCAACCTTTTTGCTCAATTCTCATAATTAAGTCCTAGTGCTTCATATTCGACTTTGTCCTTTTGCTAGAAAATCGTACCTTTTATCTCGATTTGTTAACACCTGCTCCTCAGAGACGGTAAAGGTATGCCATTCCTGGGTTACAGGTGAAGTAGTAGGACTGGAAGCAGGCTGGGACTTCTGCTGGGTCACAAAACGCCCTGCTAGTGGGGCCCAGTTTTTGTGGTACCCAGAAGTTTTTTCCAGACCCCTTTTCAGAGGACTGGCACCATGGCTGTCATGCTGGGTGTGCTAGCTTGGCACTCGGACTTCACTGCAAGGGAGTACGGGCTCTCAGGAAGCAAGTCGTCTGAATTTACTTGATAGTTAATAAAAAGTATAGGGAAAATGAAAAACACGTCTGTACAAATAAAGAAAAGTCTAGAGCACTGACCACCTTAATGCTCCTTTAATGCAAATGTTTAGCAGCATGCTTGCTTACAAAACATGTTTCTTCTGTGTAATGTACTCTGCATCTTTGTAAGAAATGAATTGGTCATTAGAGGTGTCATTATTTGGATTTTTTTTAAAAATGTACCTCATAGCTAAACCTAAAACCTGGATATAGATTAATTATTATTAGCAACTGGTTGGTACTGCTGTATGCATAAAATTTATGAACTACTGAAGTTTGTGGAAGAAGTCAGCAGTGCATCAATTAAGGTTTTGCTTCAAATGCAAAACAACCCATCCTTTACTAGAAGCAGTAATGTGTCTTTATAATAGAGCTTCTTATCCCAAAGGATCCTAAAGCACAAAAAAAAAAAAACCCTTACAAAAAACCTATGATGATTCACAGAAATGACTTAATCTGCTATTGAAATATAAGCACCTCCTCAAGGATGAAAAGATGCCAACTGCTTAACACAGCACGTAGCAAAAAAACCCCAACAGCTCTATCGCTGTACAGATCATATGGGATCTGTAGTAATTGGATAGTTGAGACCTCATTTTTACACCTCATTTGAAGTTGTCAGTTTTACTCTCCTATTGCACAAATTTCTCCCTAATGCTGAGATTTACTGAATTACCAAATTCCCACTTAATCCAAGTATTCTGCATGTATCTCCTATTTAAACACCAATGTACCCTCAGAAGTACTCGGAGTACAATGTAAAATGAGTAAAGGGACTTTCAGGTATGGTATTTGAAATACATTTTTAATTAAAATTCTTTTGTCTATTAAATAAAAAATGTGAAACTCTTGAAGAGTTAAGTGCTACAATAGGTTATGTTTTATAAAGTCAACTCAGTGGCACAAGTGGGTGAATCCTTATGACTAGTCTATATTTAGTTTTAATTTAAGAAAACATAATGGAGAAATCATTTTCAATGGAAAACTGAATGTTTATGGGTTTTTAAAAGGAACAGTAACATTTCCCAAAAGTTATTAAGACACATAAATATGCATGGCTGACAATTTGCGTACTGCGAGATTGGACTTCTGGGTTATCAACTTGCTTTCAAAAAATCTAATGCAAATGTGTCATTACCTGATTTTTTTTTTTTTCATGTTTCACTTCCCTGGTCCCAGTAATTTGCAAACAAGTAACTGAAATATTCTGGAGTCTGCCTAGTTTGCCTTTTTCTATCTAACTTGTCAGGTTCAGGTAGCGGTGAGTGAGCAGCAGTCATTTTAGAAGGGGAAATTTCTATCTGAATCTGTGTGATGTAGAAAGTCTGTAGAAAGCAAAAAGGGGGAAGATTCAGGACAAAAATGTTCAAATAATGGACCAGATTGCTAGATACTAGTTTTCAAACTATATATGTATATACAGACCCAGTACCTGATACCAGGGTGACTAAGCCCCTCTTTTGGGGGAGAATAGATTATGAAATGGAAATGCTAGAGAGAAGCCTTTCATACATGATGTACAAATACAGAGAAATTTGGGGGGTGTGTGTGTGTGTGTTAATTAACCACATATGAATGTCAGGAATCTTTTGTTCAGTTGAGACCCTGAATGAGGAGTCAGTTTTGCTTTGCGGGGAGTATTAGTATCCTGTACTGGCTGTTTTGGGCTGTCTTTTAATGTTTGCCGAGTGAAGTTATGCCTTTATTTGACAGACATTCTGCATATGGAGCCCCACTGGTTCACAGCTTCCAAAGATGGTGATGGTAGGAAATACAGACATACATCCATCTGTCTGTCTATCTGTCTATCTTGGGGTGGAATTTTGGAATGCTTTAGTGAATAATGAAGTGCCTTATAAGATACGAACCTGATCCATTAGCCTGCAACTGGACAGACATTAGTTTTAGACACAGCTAAAATATGTTGTAAAAACTACTGTCAAAACCAAAAACTCTGCACTTTCATTAATGTAGAACTACTGAAAGCAAATCTTCCATAACGGTCTGGTATATTAATGAGTTTACAAAAAAACTAAATAGAGTAACACAACCGCCATTATATCCATTAGTTCAAATCTGCTAATGTGAGTTCATGCACTACTAAGAAATTGTAGCAAATATGAAATGTTGCATTTACAAAGATGTGAAATATTCAGTAATTATGTCTGAAAAGAGGGCACACATTTCTACCCATAAAAGAGGCTTACAAAAATTGGTTGTTAGATCTGAAAGTCACTTATTACAACCATCTCTTAGGATACCTCAGAGTTGTCAAAGTGATTTTTCTGGCACTTGGTTACTTGACAGTAGGATCCACTAACATACAATTATTGTAAAGTATTGGCTTGATATTTTATGAGTGTACCTCTGATCTGTCTCAATTTTCAGATTATTTGTGATACCACTTTAATCCTATGATCTTTGGGGCTGCCGGATCACTGGGTCTCTTTGGAATGACTTAATAGATGGAATTAATGGAGTCCATAACCCAGACGAAACCAGGAGTCTGGTGATATTCTACAGAATAGAAATAGATAAATGGGATACTGTATTCTGTGATGCAGTTAATTTTAAGCATGTCTTTAATAGCCAATAAATTTATTCTTCAAAAATTGCTTGTCTCCCTTTCCCAACTGCACAGGCCTGATTGATTTAGCTAATCTATTTTTTTGTATTCCCACTAGTAGCTCGGACTAATAATTTTATAGATATCTGTGATTAAGAATGACAACAACCAAAAGAACTAAATTTTTTTAAGCCTTACTCGGATCTCGGTGTCTCCAAGGAGAACTATATGTGCACATTTGATAAAAGAACGGTTGAGCAAACGGTTGATTGCAAGTTAAATATTTAACAAGGAAGAGTTTACATAATACTTTTTTGTTTTGTTTCATTTTTGTTTTGGGCAAGGTGTTGACTCCAATTTTGGCTTATTTAGGCATTAGCATTTACAGTGTCGTCTCCTGGGAGGCCTTGCTTAATCGTTCAACGTGTACTTGAGGTCAGACCGGTGCTAGAATTCTGCCCTCTTTCCGCTGAAGTTAGTGCCAACAATCCTACTGATTTCCCGGGGAACGGGAGCCATGCCATGGGCACAGCCTGGACCCAGACTGGGAGACTGAAAAAGGAAATCTCGTTGTAATGTGTTTCCTTTCCCTGCACTACTTATGTGTAATTCTGCTGCCCATTACTCATCTCGGTAGTGTTTTCTGGAACACAAGGCAAGGCTGGCATACACAAAATGTGTGGCTGTGAAATGTGATAGAAGCTGCAGGATTTTTGGATACTTAGGAAACTAAAGTTTCTCAGTTTGCATGAGTACTGCAGAGTTTATGGCTTAGTCTGTCAGGGGGCTAATAAAGGCTTTGAATTTGAATTTTAGTTGCAGATGCCAATTAAATACAGATAATAGATTTAAACTTTTTGTCTGTAGTTACTCTAAACAAACCCTGATTGCATGAGATGATTTGCTAAGCTAAATATTTAATCACAGAGCTTATTTTTCAGTTTTTAGCCTTGTTTATAAACTTCTGGCTGATTACCCTTAAGCAGTCTTCCCTTATGTTTGAATATGGAAATAAACTATTAAATAATAACAGTAATAATAAAGTGATGCACAGAGCAGCCTTAAGTTAGTACAAAATCTTCAGGGTAAGTTATGGAAACCACCTTCTTTATTATTTCAGGTTCTCCATAGCATGTTTTAGTCAATTAAATAAATCCTTCCCTTTCAGTTCTCCATTTATTGATGCTGTCCAGATTTCTTCCCCTCAGTTCAGCAATGCAATGGGAATTTCTAGGAAGGAGACCTATTTTATGTGATTCATGCCTCATAATGAGGAGCGGCGTGTTCCCAACAGTCCTGTTCAAGTCTGTGTCAGCAGATAAAGCTTAGGTACATAAGTAAATCTATGCAGGACCTCCACTCTTAATCCAAAACTCTGCAAAGTCACTGCACTACAAGGCGAATTATAGTGTTGAATTTCCAGACTGATTTGTTAATGAAGGAAAAGGAGATTTGTAGTTTACCTTATAATTTAAATTTTATTTGTCAGTTTTATGATACAGAAGTATACTCAAAGACTAAAATGTGTTAATAAGCAGAGTGGAGTTAAACTTTTCAAGTTCCAAATGCAGATGAAAGGCATAGATTTCAGTCTCTGTATTTTCAGACCAAATGAAGGCTTTAGGGATGCAGCTGTAAACTTCTGTGCACGTATTAAGAGCACACAGGTTTTTTGTGCATGTATGTAATAGCTTAAAGGAAAAATAACGCAAGGGATTGCAAATAATTGGGCTTTACCACGTAAAGGAAGGCTCATTAGTGATCTGCAACATCTTTAGGCTTCTGAATATATCGAGGGTATACTTTCTCATGAGAAATCCCTGCTGCCTCATATGCCATTTTTATATCTCTAAATATTATCATAAAATTTAATAATGCATTTGTTTTTCAAAAACTGTTTGATGGCTTTTAGTAATCTTGTAAGTG